CTTTTTTTTTTTTTTAACAGCTGCAAAGTTTTTTAATGTACAAAATCATAATTGAAATTTGTGGTTTTTATTTACAAACACGTCTACAAAATATATCATAGCTTATATTATTTTTAGTTAAATCTCTAAACAGAACTCTCATTCTTGCTTGTGGAAAGAAGGAAAGACTTGGTATATAGTTTAATGGTTCAGTCTTGTGGATTACTGTCTTTTGGTACTGGCATTTGACTTTTGACATAATCTGTGAAACTAAATGATATTGACAAAATGAGACTCCTACCTCAATAGTTCATGGAATAATAAGAGACCTAGTGTTGTGTCTAATGTTCTTCAAAAAAGTAATATCCTCATTTGGAGAGTGTCAAATATATACATATTTTGGGGATTGACTTATACAAGTTGTCCTGTAGGACTCTTCTACATATTTTTGACTGATCCATATTATTTTCAGTGGCTAGATAATTCTACCTTTTTAGAACAAGAGCAGTATCTGTTAATGTAAGGAACATCTGTATTATTTAACTCCTTTGTAGACATGAATTTCTATCAAATGTTCTTTGCACTGTAACAGATAACTTTTTCAAAATCTTATTTCAGGAGCATTGTTAGAAGTTGTGTAAAGGATTTGATAATTTCTCAGTCCTTAGTAAGATTGAGAGGCTGGAGCAGTTTTCAGTTTTCAAAGAGTCCACAGTTAATCTCAAATGTGAGTTTGGGACTGCTTGGCAGCACTGTTTATTTCTTATTCAGAACCACTGATGAGGCTCTATTTTTAAACATATTAGTCTTCTGACAGAAAGCACTGTACATTGTATTGTTTCTTCCTTTCCAAAATTAGCCTTCTGTCTTTGTGACAAAAATGTACTTTGATTATTGCTATTAAAATGGAGGAAAAGGTCTAATACTACTTAGCCTTAAGTGTACCTGGCATTGTTCAAATGTATTTTCTGTAATAGAAACATACTTGCAATGTTTTTCTTTTCCCCTTATAAATTGTAATTCCTGGAATACTGCTGCTTTAAAAAGTCTCACAGTCAGATTATATGATCTAACAATTGAATATTGTAAATACACTTGTCTTACCTCTCAATAAAAGGGTACTTTTCTATTAATTGGTGGTTGTCTTAGCTCCGGTTGCTATAATAAAATTCTGTAGATTGGGTAGCATAAACAGATATTTGTTTCTTATAGTTCTAGATGCTGGGAAGTCCAAAAAGACAGGTGAGGATAGGTTCAGTGAACAGTGACTCCCCTCTGGCTGGCAGACAGCTGCGTTGCTGTGTCCTTGTATGGCAGACAGAACCTAGTGTCTTCATCTTTGTGTAAAGACACTAACCCCATCATGGGGGGCTCATCTTCATGACCTCATCTAAACCTAACTGCTTCCCAAAACCCAACCTCCAAATACTCTCATATTAGAGGTTAGGGTCTCAACATATGAATTTGGGGAGGATACATATTTAGTCCTTAACAGTAGTCAAATAAATCTTTATAATGAAATCCTAAAAATTTGTTTAGTATTACCCAATACTGGCCTCATTAAAAAAAAAAATTAGCCTTACATGCAGTTTTCTTTTTTATAAAATGGTCATTGCATTTTTCATTTCCAAATTGTTCAGATGTACTCAGAAATAGACCTTAGGTTAAAAAGTTGGCAGTCAATTTAGAAACTGGAGAAATGTATAAATTATTTTTCTCAAAATGGAAAGAATAGTATAATATTTAAATATTCGTGACAAATAAAACCACTTCTGCAGTGTTTTGAGTATAAATTTTGGTAAGGCCAAAAATCACTGGCCATGTCTACCACTTAAGGTACCAGTAAGTATTTGTTGAATCCAATAATTGAACTGCAAGTCTTGACTGTTGTCTGGGGAACCAAAAATCTTAAATCTTGTCCTCAGTGCTGAAATGTTCCAACCTCTACCCTTCTGCTATCTGTACCCATGTAGGAGGTTAGACACAGAAGAAGGATGCCCCAAATCCAATAACTGGCACATACTTTTTTTTTAATAGGCTTCACACCCAGCATGGGGCCCAATGTGGGACTTAAACTCACTACCATGGTCAAGACCTGAGCTGAGATCAAGAGTTAGATGCTTAATGGACTAAGTGAGCCACCCAGGTGCCTCTGGCACACTTTTCCACAACCTTACCCTTATTAGCTCTCAAGACCTAATCAAAAGTTCACCTCTGTGTTATCTTTCTTGACCTAGTATATTGAAACAGCTGGTCCATCTTTGTCTTCTCAAAGAAATTCCCACTTGCTTTTGTATTATTTAGTTATGGAAAAGAGATTCCCAAGGTTCAAAGCCTTGAGTAAAAGGAAGAGGGTAGACATTGGCCAATGAATAGGGAGTTTTATTTGGGATCGCAGGCCTTTTCTGTGTCCCTGAATCTGAAACTGGTATCCCTTTGAGGAAGTTACTTCTGTTTGTGAGACAACTGGCCTATGTGGCAGAATGGCCCTGGCATAGAATAAAGCCAAAGTAGGAGACTGAACCAATAACCTCATTCATACTATACCCAAATTCTCTATTCACTCATCAAAGAAGCAATTTGGATATTTTATTAGTATAATAGCTGTATTATCCAAGTAACATTACCCAAAATAGATATGTTGCCTATATGAACATAATAATTACTGACCTTGTAAAAATGCAATGTAAACAGTGACTGTTATTGTATAAATGGGCCTGGGCATGCTCCAGTCAATTGGAAGAATTCTGAAAACATCAGTGATACAGGCAAACTGGTCTCTGTTGAATATGTCTTCAAAAAACGTTTATCCAATTTGTCTGGTGCCTGGTCATAATATCAGCAGAACAAAACTGAATGGTTTTATCCCTGAAGTGTTTTTTGATCAAATAACTTCTTAGTCCGTCTCTAGTTTAGATATGTAAAAGTCCTAAATTGTTGTGATTTAACAAAAATTGGGAGGCAATGCCATTTTAGAACAAATGCATTATGCTACTTTTGATGAGACTACAATATTGACAATATGTCAAAACCATTCTCTTCACTTGTGCATATTATACTGAAAATGGCAGCTTTGACGTAAAACATCTGCCTGAGAATTCATCAGCTAAACTTTTATAAACAAGCCACATCATACATTTTCCCTTCAAATTATAAATTCAAAACACTGTTTTATTGGTGATTCACTTTCCTTCTCTCTTTCTAAACACATTTCTGTGTTTTTGATAGGGAGTGGGGGAAGAGGCATTTTATTTCTTTGTTAGGTGACCTAACATTTGGGTTTCACCTAGGAGTTCATTTGAAACAATGTATAATTTTATTTATTTTATTGCCTGTTTTTGGAAGTTGCTGCCATCCCTTGAAATTAAATCATAAAATCTAATATTTAAAGAAATATTAAGATTTTATCCAGTTTTGGTGTTAACCATTTAGTCCTTGGGTTTTAATCTTCCCCTTCTTCTAAGGCCTTGGGAAATACTACCATAGCAGCTTTGGCTCCTTCTTGCTTGACCTATGCTTTAAAGGGACTAAATATTCCTCCAGTTCCTACCTACAGACTACTTTGTATATTCCATTCTCATTTATTAATCAAACCTCAGTGCTCATGTCTTCACAGCTGTCAAGTCTAAATATCAAGTGCCCAAATCCCAATCTCTCTTACACAATCTATTTGCCGGCAGAGAGCATCAGCCCCACAAATTTCAATCCTGAATCAGCTTCAATTTGAATGCTTACTGCGTATTTTAATTTTAACATTCAAATTTAATTCCGTCTCTTAACTGACTCCTTATGAAGTCTCCAATTTCAGTAATGGCTTTATCATACTCAGTGTTCAAGGCAAAATGCCAAACTCCTCTTTGATTTATTTTTCTTATACTCTAATATCCCTTTTATCCACAGCTTCTATATTTTCTACCTCCAACACCTATCCCAAACTTATTTACAGCTCTCCATTCCCTACAAGTACCACCCAAATCTAAACCATCATCACTTTTGCTTGTAATCTTGTTTGCACATGAATTGGCCCAATTCTTCTAGGGACCTCATTTCCACGTGCTCTCTCCTATCACCCTGTGACCAACTCAGCTTTGGCCTCATTGGTCTCCTCCTCATTCTTCAAACAAGCCAAGCTCCTTGTCATCTAAAGATTTTGCTTTTATTTACTCTACCTGTTACAATAATTCTCAGTCTAACTCATCTCCTGTCTGACTCTACCTGATCCATCCAGACCTCCTTCAAAAGCTGCCTTCTCTAATGTAGCCTACCACTTACCTTATCACATCACCTTGCTTATTTTTACTTTATAAAGCATTTAAAACAGCTTTAAATTACCTTATTTACCTTTATTTATCTGTGTACCAGTTTACAGTATTTCTCCCCTGACTGGAAGATAAGCTTGATCACAGCAGAGACCGTGTCTTTTTAATACATGGCTGTGTTCCCTGAACTAAAAGAAGAAATGTCCAATATGTAGTAGGCTTTTAATAAATGTTGATTAAATAATTGAATGGATACTTAAATGAAGGATCGATGTCAAATTCCATTGAGATTCCCTAACCTCTTCATTTCTACCCAAAGGGTTCATCTCTAGTCATCAGTGATAGCTTGATAGCTAGCTACCCAAGACAAGTTTGCTTACTTTATTCATTTACTTTTGATTCAGCCTGAGCTTGTTAAACATTTTCTCTACTACTACTAATAACTACTTTTGAAAGCTAGTTGGAAAAGCAAAAACAATGATATTGATATATTCAGAATATCTCCTGGCTGATGTGGTCAGTATCTAAATTATGTCCACTCATCAATCATTTTCTCTACTTCCTGCAAATGAATCTCCCTGGAAAAATCGTCAGATCCTCTCAATCATGAATACTGACAGGAAGTCCCTATGGACTCCCTAACTCTACTGAAGGTCCGGAGGGGTCCTAGACACGAAGACTTAAAAGCCCCACTCTCAGAACAAGATTAGAAAACTCACAGGCAAAGTTGTAGTTACTGCAGGTTTTGTAAAGGAGCAGAACATGAAGGTAAGTAAAAGTTTTACTTACTGGAGACTTCTAAGCTATTTTATGAAACTATTTGTAGCTTTTCACCTATTTTATCTTTAATTAGAATTTTATAGGCTAACAGATATGCGAACAATATGCTTTAAAATATCAGAATCATTTGATTTTACTTCAAAAAAACCACTCATTTGAGTGAAGTAATGAAAATAACATATTTCTACTTTTTAAAATAATTTCTACTTATTTTTAAATAAAATTAACTAGAACGTACACTGGGGAATCACCTTCTCCCCCACATGCTGAGTGTTATTAAAATAGTTATTAAAATAATTATTAAAAACAGAGCACATCGAAAGGTAAGAGGTTTGTAATTGTCCGGGTGTAATGGAAGTAGAAGATCCTATAGGTACAGAAATTACTTTCTTTGATCTTTTCCTGCAGGGACTCAGAAGTCTGGTGGCAACAACCTTGGCTCTTTTTCTAGTGTTTTCTTTCATAGAAAATTCCAGCAACGCGCCGCAGGTAACCAAACGTGAAAACTGGGGTTCCTGGGTGTTCTTTCCCACCCTCACTCCCTCCCTTCTTTCCTTCCTTTTTTTTTTTTTTCTTCTCTTCTCCGCCCCCCCCCCTTTCTTTTTTCTAATAGAGGACTGGGCTATAACGTGTTATTAACTGCTCTTCTCTTCTACCTGGGTTGTAGGGACTCTTTGAGAGAAGGAACTGGACTCCCCAATCTATGCTCTATCTGAAGGGTGCACGTATGTTCCAAATACTTTGCTCCCCCTACAGCAAAACAGGAAGATCTTCAGGGGTGTAAGAATCCATGGGATAGATGCGTGGGGAGAAGTAATATCAAATGTGTTCCCTTAAATAGCCATAGTCATCCTGCAGGACTGAGTGGGGTGGGACGTGTGGCAACGGGAGAGAAAGACTCCCCAATAATTAGAAATTCTCCACCCTAAAAAAAAAAAAAAAAAAAAAGTAAATTCTCCATCCCCAGCTGGAGGGTTGCCGGCTCTTGTCACACAGGAAGGCTCCAGACCGGCCTGGGGAACACCCCACGGGCTTCTGAACCCGACCACTTCTCCAAAGCCCATGAGCGGGGGAGGGCTGGGTGCAGCAGGCGCAGGCAGCGCGCGGGCAGGTCTCTGCAGGGCGAAGACTGGCGTGGGGGCAGGATCGTGGGGCGCGCCGCGCAGGGGCAGAGTACGGGTAAAGGCTCTCGGTGCAGCCCGGGGGTGCGCGTCGAGCGCCCGAAATCCAGCGCGGACCCAGGCCGCCACTGCGGACCTACCCCTCCTGGCTTGGGGACTCGCGGCGCGGAGCACAGTTTAACCGCGATTGTTGGGTGTTTAGCGTGCCGGCTCAGCCCCAGTGTCGCCTTTGCAGAGGGGCGCCGCTTCATTTCGGACCAGAGCCGGAAGAAGGACCTCTCGGACCGGCTGCCCCCGGGTGAGTGAGCCAGGGGGAGGGCGCGGGGCCGGCGACACACAGCAGGACCCAGGCGGCAGGGCGCGCTCGGCCCGGCGCGAGACGACTGCGGCTCTGCTCCCGGAGGGACGTGGCTCCGGGGCCGCCGGGGAGGAGCCCAGCCAGGGCCGAGCCCAGCCCGCGCCGAGCCCAGCCAGGGCCGAGCCCAGCCAGGGTCGAGCCCAGCACGCGCCGAGCCCAGCCAGGGTCGAGCCCAGCCAGGGTCGAGCCCAGCACGCGCCGAGCCCAGCCAGGGCCGGGCCCCGCCAGCGCCGAGCCCCGCGGAGGAGCGGCCCGGAGGGGCAGAGCGCCGGAAGGGGCGTGGATCTCGGGGGACGCCGGCGCAGGGAAAA